GTTTTTTTTTTTTTTTTGCGAACTGTACATCGTACTAAATAAGGGACCACACTGAATAGCTTTTGATCTAATGATAAGATTTTCACGTTCTAGGACTCAATCTTAATGGTGATATCTTAATCGGACATAAAAGCGCACTTTCTTTGAGTGTAGACACAGTACTCCATATCCATCGAAAAATATATGTTTATTCTGAGAAAGTACAATTTTGTGTCTGATTTCGTAATGTAAAATATCGCCTGTACTTATTAATTAGTGTGCTTGACATCACCTCATCAAGTCATTAAGATTGAGTCCTAAAACGTGAAAATCCGATGAATATATCAAAAGTTATTCAAGGTGGTCCATTTTCTTATCACACTGAATAGCATACAAAACTATATATACAATAATATAGCATTCCTACACATTTTTTATGAACCTAAGTTCCTCACGGAAAATATTGAATTATATCCTTAGCTGAATGAGCTTCACACGCAAAGCAGGCCATTTGTTAGGATCAACCTCAATTTTCACATCATCCTTAGTAAAGAAGCAGATCTTTGGTGATTCCATGTACTCCTTACGTGCTTGGATTCCTTGCCTCGAGGAGCTGTTTTCGTTGATTTCAGTTTACTGTTTTCGATTTTTTAGAACAGATTTTGAGGGCTTTTGATCTGACCTCACTAATTTTATGTTCATCTCTAGCCCTTTAAATTTTTAGAGGCTAATGTAAGTTTAATCAATAGTTCCAGTTTAGTTTTACCAGGGCTATTTGTTAAAACTAGAGCTCTTTGTGAGTTTTTCCTCTTTGGTTTTGGAATCATGAAAATTTTCTCTATAGAAATTGAATTTAATTGAATTTAACAGTCTGCATATAACATTAGATCTCTTATATCTTTACACAGGATGATCTAAAATTACTAACTTAACTAAACACTTAATGCTCTTACACAACAAATTCATTTTTTTTGTCTTGATCACCGCGTGGAAAAACTTTCAAATTTACCCGCTAGGGTATTCTACCCTCAAAACTTCTCAAGAAATCAAAGGTGGAACGATTTAGGAGAAGTATGATTGAAGCAACTTTCCTCTACGCTAAATTTTTTTTTAAAAATCAAAAACTATAAAATTTTAACTCAAAAATGCCCATAAAAATTCAGCAACTATCTGTAGATAGATATACAAAGATGACTGTTGAATTTTTATTTATTTACTTATTTAGAGACGGTTTAAATTACATAGCGACTTTTCACTTGCTCCCATTAATTGAAAAGTACTGATACATTTAATAGTTTAACCAGCAATTTTAATACTCACCATCGCGGAGTACTGCCGGATCGGTATTGTCTTCTGATTTCAAGAAGTAGGGATATACATCTTTCCAAGACCATCCTTCACAACCAATATCAGCCCATCGATCGTAATCTCTCTTATTACCTCTCACGTACAACATGTAGTTTATTATGCTTGAACCACCCAATCCTTTACCACGGGGCATAGTCATTTGCTGCAAATATTTACTTCAATATTAAAATTATATATATAAATACTGTTTCAATTAAATGACATAATCCTCTGAAGAAATGGAAATTATCAGAAAAATACATTGATGCAGAAAATGATCACCTGATCTTTTCATTATGTAATACTTTGAAAGTAAACTATCGATTCTTAACTATCATTTCGATTTTAAATATCCACAACTGCATGATTTCAAACGAGCATCATATCCATCATAGATGGTAATAGTTAAATAACTATATAATTATATTCACCTACATAATTAGTGAAATAAATTAACTACGCTTTTTATTGAATACTTATTTCCCTAATTATGTAACAATTTAACTATAGATTAAAAATTTAAAATGCGACTCTCTTTAAGTCTTATTTAACAAAACCTATTCGACCAATTTCGTTAACAAAATGCAGCCTGTCTTTTAAAATTGCAAAGTTTAAAATTATAAAAACAAACATGCATATCTCACAATTCAAATATTTTTTATCATTCATAATCTCAATAATAAGGAAAAAATATGTTTGCAATGAAATATCTTCAAATAAACAAGTTTTTTTACCGAACGCAAAAATAGTTTGATGAGGATAAAAAAATATCACAGACGTGGCATGTAATTTAACTTTAGTTTTATCATTTTAACTGACATCTGTTCTGACTAAACTTTTCATTTCCATCGCCCACCCAATCGACACTCGTCATTCAGGTATCAGTAAGCTTATTTGTCGGCCACTCTTTTAAGGGCACCATTTTAGATGTAACAACGTTGCTCCCACAACAAGGAGAAATAGTACAGAGAATTAAACATTCCTACCTTGTCATCGATTCGAACCCAGGCTCACAACACATTCCGGTCGGCTAGTCTGACTAAACAAATGGGACAAAATTTCTACATTACGGCTACCCTACTAATTTGGAAAAGTATCAGTCGAAGCAAAATTCACAGAAATTATGTTTTGTGTCGTATTTCTTATAAAAAATAGCATTTACTTTAACTAATTAATGTATATAAGATCTATCCTTTGTCCCGTAATAGCAGTTAAAATTCCTACCATAGGTAGTAAAAGTTTATCCAATTCTGTACAACCAAACTGTACATGAGTGGATCAGGTCCTTATAGTTTGACGATACAATACGATACGCATACGATAACGATACGAGTTTATGATTGAAATATCTTAAGAAACTACGATGTTTTAACGTCAATTTTTCTTGTAGACTAAGAATTGCAGAAATTTTTTATTTTTTACTACTAAAGATATTAAATCAAACAAGCTTCAGGTTTACTTACGTGGTTTGGATAAGCAAAAGCACCAAATTTTTGTGGAACTGTCTTGTAATTCCAGTCATTTATTGTTCCCCCTATTTCCATACCGGCCAAAGGAACTTCGGTCAAAACTTGAGCCTTAGGTCCAGCTTCTAAAAGTAAAACACTCACGCAAGGATCCTCAGACAGACGAGATGCAATGACGCTTCCTGCCGATCCAGCACCAACTGAAATAAGGCGTTTGAAAAACTTTCGGCATGTAATGTTTTTCAAGCTAAGAAGAGAATATCTGTATTTACTTATGATCTAATGATCGTATTTTCACGTACTTAATCTTGATTGTTCGATCGTCTATCCTAAGGGTTGTTCTTCGAAGGCTTTGTCGTCATATTAAATGATGCTTTTTTGCGAATAATATTCTTTTTTTCATAACTACTGCGAGTTTGCAACAGTTACTCATGACTGTTAGGACAAGTTTAGCTTATCTAAAGCTAACGCTATCTATCCTTATTCTAAACTGCTGTTTGTAGAAAATGCAACACCATGAAGGAATCATCAGAATCAAATGAAATATTATTTTAATAATGGATATAGGATATTATGCAAATTAATAAAGTTTCAGAGCTTATTTTGCTACGTGGCGCGCGCAGCGCCCTCTGAATTGATGCTGAAAGCGTATAAATAAAGTGCTGTAGCGGGACGTTGAAAATAGTC